CTTCTGGCTTTTTAATGATTAATTCGAGATAAGAGTCTCAAACTTTCCTGCCAGGGCTGGCTTCGAATCATGATCCTCGAATCTCAGCCTCCTAAGTAGCTAGGATTACAGGCCTGAGCCACCTGCACCTGGCTACAGCTAAGTTTTGAAGGGCCTTAGACTTAACAAAGCAATGGATGTTGCCCTGGAAGTTGAAGATCTCAAATCTGATGACTGGTTAAATAGTGATAGAGAATATTGGGAGAGAAACTAAGTGAAAGGAGGGAATTAGATAGAGAGCTATTGCCAAGAAACATAGCATAGCTTTGTTTGATTTCACTCCTTAGAGAAAGCAATTGTTAGACATTTGGTGAGTTTTTTTCTCTCCAGCAATTAAACATACAGGCACACACACACACACACACACACACACACACACACACACACACACACGCACACACACACACACACACACACACACACACACAAATTTCTTTTGTTTTCTTTTTTGGCCTAAGACCAGGACTTGAACTCAGTACTTGACACTGTCCTTCATTGGCTGGTACACTATCAACTGACCCACACCTCCAATCCCAACATAAAACAAATTTAAGACCACAAATAAGATTAGTCATACTCTACCTACTATTTTGAAATGCTTTTCCAATTAATAATATTTTCATAGTCATCTTGAAGAGATTTGCCTCTTTTTTTTTACTTGCTTGTATGCCATTGAACAATATTCCTTAACTATATAACCATTTCTCTATGGACATGAAGTTCTTTTCTTGTATGCCATTGAATAATATACCTTAATTATATAACCACTTCTCTATGGCCATGAAGTTCTTTTCATGATTAAAATAATGCTTTGGTAATATTAATACCTTTGAATAGCTTCCTTCTGCAGACATCAAGACTAGTTTTTCTATCCTTCCAATAGTGAAAATGTTAGACAGAAGAACAAAAGAACACAATCAGGCAGGCTGTTTGAGGTAATGATTTGGGGTAAGGTGTGCCTGATATGCAACAATTATGCTCAGAATGGTGTCTTGAACATAATGAACTTTCAGTATTTGTCCAATGAATGAGGGAATGAGGGAATGAATAAATGCACTATGAATTTTTATCCACTGGCCATATTTAGGCACCATAAATATGGCGATCCCTCATGGATCACAAGCTTTCTCAACCGCAGGGCATGGGGGTGGGGCAGATAATCCTTTGCCATAGGGTATCCTGTGCACTGTATGATACCAAGCAGAACTCCTGGCCTCACCTACTAGATGCGCCACGAACACAATTCTAGTTGCAAGAAGAAAAAAAAGTGGTCTTTGGAAATTGTGGTGTTTCCCTTGGGGGGAAAGTCACTTCTGGCTTAGATCCATTCGTTTATAAGTTGAATTTACAGAAGGACAAAAGCCCTTTCTAAAACCAACTCTATGAACATTGATTCTTGTTTTCCTTTATCTTCCCAAATCCAGTGGCCTTTCCTCTTAGGGTTTCTTGTCATTTCATAGAACTTCTTGGGTATTTTAGATTTGGTTTAGATTTTCTTCTTTTAGGGCCATTTTTCCTGACTTCCCCTCCAAGTTTAGGTGAGTTCTACTGCACACTGTTATAGAATATTCTCTATTCATCAGATAGTTTTCCACGATGGGGCTAATCAAACTGAATTATCCCATTGAATTGAATCATTATTCAATTAATCTGTTTCCTTCAGACAATTTCTTTTTTCTTTCTTTTCTTTCTTTCTTTTTTTTTTTTTTTCCAGTTGTGGGGCCTGAACTCTGGGCCTGGGTGCTGTCCCTCAGCTCTTCAGCTCAAGGCTAGCGCTCTACTGCTTGAGCCACAGTGCCACTTCTGGCTTTTTCTGCTTATGTGGTACTGAAGAATCAAACTCAGGGCTTCATGCATGCAAGGCAAGCACTCTACCACTGAGCCACCTTCCCAGTCCCTCCTTCAGACAGTTTCTGAGAAGAAAGTTAGGTAGGTTCTTCTATCGAGTACCCCAAACAAGATCTGACACATGGGCAGACACTCAATGAGTAGTTGGAGGGTAGCGGTATCACAACGCCTTAATTTTAACCAATACCCAACGTGGGCTTCAGCTTTCATTAATATTTGCTCTGTCCCTCCTGAAACAATTTTGAAAGACAATGTTACTTGTACACACATTTTAAAATCAGTATGTTAATTTTCATCATTAAGTTCATATAGTTTGAAGACGATGAATTCCAGCATGCTACAGATATTGGAATTTAAAAATCAAACTGCGCTGGTTACAGGTGACTTCAGGAGGCTGAGGTCAAGGTTCAAAACCAGCCCAAGCAGGAAAGTACAGGAGACTCATCTGCAATTAACCACCAAAAAGCCAGAAATGGAGCTGTGGCTCAAAATGATAATGCCAAGCTTGAGCAAAAATGCTAAGTGTCTTGAATTCAGGCTCCAGTATGCATATGCATACATGTACATACACACACACACACACACACACACACACACACACACACATACACCCCAAAACAACCAAAAAAACTATGACATTATTCTTTAAGAGTAACTATTATTCTAGAAAAATAAGGAATAGTGTGGTTTGGGAGGGATGGGTGAGAATGTTCAAAGGGGAGACATTGATCAAGATGTATTATATTCATAAACTTTTGTTGTTTTTGTTTTGTAGGTCATCGGGCTTGAACTCTAGGCCTGGGAGCTGTCCCTCAGGTCTTCAGCTCAAGGCTGCATTCTACTACTTGAGCCACAGTGCTCAAGTAGTACTGTTTATGTGGTACTGAGGAATCCAGGGCTTCATGCATGTGAGACCAGCACTCTACCACTGAGCCACCTTCCCAGCCCATAAACTGCTTGGTTGAATGACAAATTCCTTTGTACAAATATTTAAAGATAAAAAAATTAAGTAGCTATTATTCTGTTATAATTATTTCCAAAATTCTCTTTGATTTGTTTTCTACTACTGTTCAAGGTAAACATTAGAAAGATGTCAAATTTTTAAAGATGTTTAATGAGCTATTAGAGAAAGTTGAATTAAATGATCAACGGAAGCTATCAGTTTAGAAAATGAGATGTTTTTTACACTTGGGGGAAAGGCACCTTAAGAATTACAGGGTGGTAGGTAGACTCTCCTTTTATACTCTAGCGGAAGAATTATTAGGAACATAGATATGTTCTCAAACAAACCAGTTTTAGGAAAGAGTATTTGCAGGAAGGGAGTACCTGAAAATTAATTCTCTAATAATCTTGGTGTGCTGCTTGGAAACCCACTACTGGGTGTGATCTGACATAATCACCTGCAGAGGGCAGTGTTGGACAAGCAATTGGATTCCATCTTTGGCTCTTCCTCAGGGAAGCTTCAGAAAGGGCAATTCAGTTTGAATACAGTGCTACCCCAGCCCTCTCTGGCATGTGTATTTACATAGTGAATTATTCATAGAAAAATGGCTAATGAGAAAAGAGACCAGTCTCTATCCTGTACCTAAAAATCAAGACCAGGACCTATGAACATATGAAAACTTTTTGCTCAGCTGGTGGCTCATGCATGTAAATCTAGCTATTCAGGAAGCTGAGATCTGAGGATCACAGTTCAAAGCCAGCTGGGCAGGAAAGTCCATGAGACTCTTATCTCCAATTAACCACCTAAAAACTAGAAGTGGAGCTGTGGATCAAAATGGTATCAGGCTAGCCTTGAACAAAATAGTTTAGGGACAGTGCCTAGGCCCGGAGTTCAAGCCCTACCACTGACCAAAAAAAAAAAAAAGAACTTTTTCCTTTCTCCTCTTCTAGAACTGCATTTGAGAATGAAACTGAATGAAATGTGCATAAGAATGTTGCTTTTTCTCTTGGAAGAAAAAAAAAGTGAAATATCAACCATTTACAGTTCTAGGCTGAGAACTCAGCTCTGGAATGTTCAGGTCTCTTTGTAGCACTTTTGAAGGTGAGGATGGATGTGGGACATCTCCATACCCCAGCTTCCCTGGCTGTGAGGCAGGTGTGATGTCATCTTTATGGTAGGAAGGAGGGAGGATTCAATGAGGTTAGGAAAGAGGTCCAGCACGAGGAGCATTTAACAAGCATCTAGTAATCAGTAATTGTAAGGATGGTAGTAAAGACAAAAACATTGACTTGACAGTTGGTCAGCATGACTGTTTCTACTCTTATCATTCATGTCCACTGGGAGAATCAGAGTGAAAAAGAAATCAAGCCACTGCAATGTAGAAAAATGTACAAGCATAGGACTAGAAGCAGAAAGAGCGAAAGCAGAAAGGCATAACCATGTATTCCATATGAGACTCACCTGACTCCTCACCATTACTGGTACTTCCAGGGCTGAAATGTTGATGAGAATGCATGTATCTAAAACAGTACATGCGTGACTCTAACCTGGCAGCAGGTGCAGTGGCACATGCAATCATCTCAGCTACTTAGGCAGTAGACATTGGGATGCTCCCTGGCTCAAGGTCAGCCCAAGGTAAAAGGTAGCAAGACCTTGTCCCAACAAATAAGCTGGGCATTTTGTGTGCATCTATAATCCCAGCTATAAAGCAAGGATATGGGTGGAGGTTTGTGGACCCAGCTGCCTTGGGCAAAAATGTGAGGGCGTATTTGAAAAAAAAAATAACCTACCAAAAAAGGGAGGCGCATAGCTCAATTGTTGGACCCCAATACCACACGAAAACCTGTCTGCCTCGGGCACCACACCGAAGTCATTACTCTCTCCAGGACGTTCTGTCCTCTGTGAAACTTCAAAGGGCAGAGGATGAAGCAGTCGGACAAAGTCTGATGGGTGAGTGGCACTCAGAGCTTGCAGCCAGCCCCATCCCTCTGTCTCCATGGAGCCCGGGGGCCCCCCGGACTGGGTCAGAGCAAGGCCAAGGAGAGCTTGGATGAGATGCGTATCCTTTCACCTGGCCGTTGTCCAGCCCCCAAATAGCTCCTGTGTCTGGTCCAAAAACAAGATCACATGACAGGAGGAGAAGTTCGTCTGCAGCCGCTTGTCCTTGGACTCTCAGTGGGCACAGTAGTGTCCGCTGCCCTGTCCCCAGGTTCCCAAAGCCGGAAGGCCACCTGCCATGCTGCCCGGCTGGGGCGAGTCTGGTTTCACCCAGTCCTTCTCCTAGGGCTGCCTGGACTCCATTCGCAGTAGCAAGGCAGCAGGAGAGCTAGACCAGGGTCCTGGCTGCCTCGTGAGGATCAGAGTACCTCCGCTTCTGCCCTGCCTAGGGCGGTGAATGGGAGTTCCTTCCCCCGCAGCCCCCTGCCAGCTGCCCCCCCTTCCTGCCCCACAGCGCAGTGTGAGCACGGGAGCCGCAGCCCCACCCAGCCGGACCCCAACGCGCCCAGAGCCCAGGTGAGTGCTGGGTGTATCAGGTTGTTGCACCCTTCAAGCCTATGCTCTGTCAGAACGGCCTGTCCCCGGCAGGATCCTGCTACCCTCCCGGATTGGTGAGTGGCCGGCTTGAGTACAGTGGTGGAGGCTGGGGTTAAGGATTTCCTGGACTCCTTTCTCTCATTCAGAGGCTGGTGGGCTCCCAGAGAGAGAACGAGGTAGGTCTGGAGCTCAGCTGGGAAGCAGGAAATGAGGCTTAGCAAGTGAATTCTCTTTGCTGAGATCTAAGTGAATTCATTAGTCAGATCCCACTGCGGGAAAGTTAAGGCTTCATTTTTTTTTTAAAGAGCTCTGTATGCATAGGGAAGAAAAGGATTATAAATCCTGCAGGGTTTTCTTTTGCCATCTCTTCCTTCTTGGAGCCTTGCAAGCATACTGAAAGGTCCAAGAGCTTCTTATTTTGGTTGTGAATAAGAGGAATACAATCAAGGGTTTGGAAAGAGTTGCTCTGTGAGCAGAGCCAAAGGACAAACAAGTTTTGTGTCTTGATCTCTGCAAGCCAAGCCCATCCTATTCAGGATGTGTAAAGGGACCATGGTGCTTTTGCACATGCGCAGTTATCCCAGACACTGCTCCTGGGTTATGAATCACACATATCTATGCTACGAAAAAGTCTGTACTGTTCTGGTGCGAGCAAAGTCATCACTCAACTAAGTCTGCATTGTTTAGTGATCATAGGCCGAAGTTCAGTTTGAAGAGTTGTTTTTTGATCAGGTGTGCAGACATGTCCCACCTTGAATCTCTTCCCCCATCTGCTGCCAGGAAGACTTGCTGTTGTGGTAGCAATATGGCTGCCAGCAGCTCAGGGGACATCTCCCAACACCCAGCACAGAACAGGTGCATCTCCTTCCCAATGGTCCTCCATCAGTTCCTCTCAAAGTGAGTGTGGGCACCGTGCCCACTGCTGACATGGGATGTGATTATCATATCCAGTGTGGCAGAGACTGGGAGCAATGAATGGTGGCTGGCTCCCCAAAGGTACCAAGGTGCTTGCCTCAGGAGAAAGGGGCAGATGCAGGACAACTAAGGCCAGAAGTCACCTTGGCATTGCTGTTGATGTGATGGTAATGTAACTCCTCCCTTCCCCCTCTCCCCTCCTCCACCCCACGAGTATGTATTCATGACAGATAGTTTCCTGGGAAGGATAATTATTGGTGAAACAGGGGACTAAAGGAGCCTGAGGCTTGCCGATCCTGATGGTGGGAAGGATGCTTGTCACTGGCCCGGTCTCTGCACCACCCACCTGTCCCCAGCCCAGACCTCTGGGTGGCCTGTCTCATGTGGGTCTCCCTTCCCCTCATCTGCCCTCACTCAGTCTGTCTTCCTCCCTACTATCTTTGTGAACTCATCCTACTGGTCTTAGTCTGGTCTTCCCAGGCCTTTCTGTTGCTTCTCTCTGAATATGAATAGGCTTAACCATCAGGGTTACCTCTTACTTACTTTTTCTTTAAGAACTTTGTGATTCTCAAATTCTTCCCCAAAGTGAGGCATATATCCATGGGGAAAAGTAAGTTTTATCCTCAGCTCTCTCTGTGCTATGGTATGTAATAAATAGTAGCTGCCAAATAGGAGGGTTCAATTAATTGTCCAGTAGAAAATTTAGCTTTCTAAATAGCTTAAGGTGATGGTTAGATTACCCAAAGTCTTTAATCCTACCTTTAAAAGTAATTCAGTAACCATGGCACTGTGGTTAGGTTCCTGTGGGTGGGTACCTGGAAAATATCTCCATTGGTATCATCTTACTTATGGGGGGGGGGTGAATATGTTCAACACTTATCCTAGATCATATAGCAATTGAGTGTTGGTGTTGGGGTCTGAGTCTAGGCCTGCCTGACATTGCATTTCTTACGTCATTCATCATATGCATGCTTATCATGGCTGGGTTGGGATCCAAGCTTGCCTCTCTGAGCATCAATCACTACACATAGCTTGCCCTGCCTGCTGTCCAAACAGGGTGGCCACAGTGCCATGTTGGGAGCTCTCTTCCTAGGAAGGTAACTAGAAAATTCTCACCTCAGAGAAAACCAAACTCTTGAGCAAATGGTGCATATTTTTTTTATGCTATCTGTGTTCCCTGGTTACAAGCATGGGCCTCTCAGTGGATACAGTCCTCTGTATGATGTCAAAATCCTTGGTGCAAGCCCATCTTGCTGACTAGACTTGTTAATTTGCCTGTCTATCTGATTGGTGTCTTCAGAAGAGCAGATGCCATCTGACTTCTCTCATTTTATTCATCTTCATGACATTCTGATAGAGGGCCAGGAAGCTAGGTTTTTCTCCTTCTTTGTATTGGTGGCCTCACAGAGGCAAAAGAGACTGTTCTATCCCCAGATTACATAGAAGGTTCCAGATGAGATAGAAGCCAACTTGCTTTGCTATGAGATTATAATGGGTATATACATATATATATATATATATATATATATATATACACACACACACACACACAAATATATGTATATATACACATACATATGCATGCCTAAATAATATGCATATGTAAATACGCACACTAAGAATTGTTTAGGTAAATCTTTCAGAGAAAATCCACTGTAAGAGTTAAGAGAAGTGAAAACATAGATCTACAAAAAAAAAATCTGCACATGAATATCCATAACATATCCCAATCAGAGGCCAGCCTGGGCAAAAGTTAGTGAGCTGGGCATAGTGGTATGCACCACTTGTCCTGTCTATATGAGGAACATAAATAGGAGGATTACAGTCCAGACAAAAATATGAATCCTACTCAAAAAATCATTTAAAGCAAAAAGAACTCGGGACATGGCTCAAACAGGAGATCCCAAATCCAAACCATTATACAAAATAAAGTAAATAAATATCCCTCTGCAAACAGAATAAACAAACAACCCCTGCCCCAAACCCACTGCTACTGGAATCATTAATCTATCAACAAGTTGCTAAGGGATGTGGTACCACTCTGTCTACTCTGAGAAATTCATACCTTGTCTCAAGAGCATGGCCATAGTTTGCCAACATAATTCTAGGGGAGAGCCTATAGATGGAAACAAAAGAGGGCCCATCAATTCCTCCCCAGAGCCTAGACCAAGAAGATTCTCTTCCCATTGTCCTGAATAGACCATTTTTAAATATATGCTGTCAATTTCACCCTTCTAGGTCTTCAGAATTCCAACTTGCGCTTCAAAACCTGACTCCCATCGCAAGATGCTAAATCTCATGAACCAGTGTGTTGCTACCATGACTTTTCTCTTACTTTTCACCCTTAAAGCTCAGCAGGAATTTGAATAATAAGCTAGTGATCCAGATTGGCTCTGCTTGTTTTGCCAAATAGTGAGCTAATTTTTAAACTGGGCATGCTTAAACTGGAGTTAAATGGGATTGAGGCATCCTGAAATTAAACATGAGAAAAGTGTTTGCACATGTGTGCCCATGCATGTAACACACATTTACCTTTCTGGACTACAGGGTTACAAATCTCGCTAGATTTTTATGGGGTGTGTGTGACTCATTGCATGAGTCACTGGGCTTTCTACATATCATCGCCTACCTGGGGTCTGATCAAGTACATTCCAGTGTACCGAGGCTGAGTGGGACCAACAGCAGAGCCAGGCTGCAACAGGGAAGCCTGATTAATAATGCAGGGACCAGCAAGAGCGGTGCCACCTTTCAGCTTGAAGATCTGCAGACAGAGCAGTAGCTGTCACCAGCTCCCCATGGGCCTATAAAGCTTCAACACTTTAACAGCAGCTCTCAAGCCCATGAAGCTGATAAACCATTTTAGCTGACCATACTTGAGCCTTCCTGTCACAGACTGGGAGGTCCAGTATATAAATGCTAGCTGAAAAGAAAACTGCCAATACCAAGAAGAGTGGCCGGAAAAATGTAAAGATACATGCATTTGTGGCCTACGGGTGTCAGGTCTTGTTGAGACAGGGGGAGCTCAAAGTACTGCCACTGAGCCCACAGTATTAGCTGGAAACTTGCTGGAAACTTGTTAGACCTAATTAGATAGGTCTACCCATACCTGCTACACGAGAAAGCCAGCAACCCATCTGAACAAATCATTTAGGTGGTTCCAAACTACTGGACGTGCAACAATGAAGAAGACAGGCAAAGTTCAGTTTGCAAAGAAGACAGGCAAAGTTTCAGTGTGCATGGTGAGGGAGACAAAACAAATTAAGTACACATTTTGTGAAGATCAATTTCAGGCAGCAATAAGTTCTGTCAGGAAAGAAAGCACCAGGGGACAGTGTAGGCAGGAAGGAGGGGTTGATTTTGAACAGGTGGCCCAGGAGTCAGGGAGGAGGTGGTCTGAGCTGAAACCAAGACAAGAACAAGCCATAAATAAAAGTGTACATTCTGAGCAGATGGAACAGTGAATGCAAAGGCCCTGAGGTAGGTCAAAGGCCCTGAGGAGCAGTGTGCTTGTAGCATACTGAGGAAGAGGAGAACTTGGTGGTAAGCTGAGCTTTTGCTCTTAAAATAAAGCAATGTGATCTACCTGTTAGCAAGATTCTTCTAGAATGAACTACGGAGACTCAGAGGAGGGCAAAGAGGCCAGTCAGGAGAATGTGGTCACAATAATCCAAGCAAGAAATATTGGTGCTTGAATTGGAGCAGACCAATGTGCAAAGATTGGTTCCTCAGTGAAAAGCAAATAATGACATAGGTTGCATTGCTTAATAAACTCTCTTAAGCATACACATGTCCAGAAGTATAAAGACGTTTCCACTAATCCTCCTCTCTTAGAGAAGAAGGCTAACGAGGAGCATTTTCTACCTTTCTGTTTGTTGTGCTTTTCTATCACCAGCATAAGTATTCCTTTCATTTAAATACTAAGCGACTTAACAATGAAAATTTAGGACAAACAGGAATTGGAACAGCAATGGGCTGTCAACGTCAGAAGTGGCAGCCACCTTTGGCCTCTGCTGAGCTGTGCCCTCCCTAAAGCTTCTGGCCTGCAGGGCCCCACAAGCTGGACT